GTGAGGCGCCGCCCGAAGGGTCCCCGGCCGCCGGGGGACCCGGCCTCGCTCCCACTGCCCGGCCCCTGCCCGCAGCCTTCCCCCCGCTCTCTAGTAGCGCTCCGTGGCCGGGCGTGGCGTAGCTTAACTCCCGTCGCGGAAAGAACCGTCCGCTGGTTGCTCTGAGCAAAGCCCCCGGCGGAGTTCACTCCGTTCCCCCGTCGCCTGTGCATCGGGAGAAGGAGCGGACGGTTCCCTGTACCCCTCTCCCTTTTCCTCCTGACTGTACAGATCTCCCCCCTGCCCCTTCTCGCTCATCCGTCTGCCAGGCAGGAGCAGCGGGGCAGCTGCTCGCCAGTCCTCGGGGGCTGGGGTAGTTTTAAGTGGGAACGTGCACGTCGCAGGTAATAGTCGGCTAAGCTGCCCGCCTGGGGTCGTATTGGTATTTGTCAAGCGGCATGCAGACAGAGCTGGGTGAAGGTCTGAGTAAATTTACACGTTTCGGTAAGCAACGCGTGATTTCGGTCGCCCGTCTATCGGAATTTTAAGAAAATGCCATTTATCTGTCTTGCTGTCAATGCAGATGTATGCAGCTGAAGAAATTGGTGGATGAGAATACAAATGCTCTTCATAATTTGAAAAAAGTAAGTAAGGGGACGGATTTGTTAACGGTTTTCTCCAAAATGCATCACGGTGAGTGTTTAGAGAACGCCAGCCTCCTTTGATTTTAATGCCTCACGAGCAATGCCTAGCACTGCACAACCCCCAGCTGGGATCTCTGAGATCCATTTATATTATTCAAAAGCACATTTTTAATGCTTTATTGCGTACAAGTTCTGCGCTTGAAATCTTTATCAACCCGATGCATTATAAAATGTTTATAAACCCGATGCATTGTACTGGAAGCGGAGGATGCAGATTTGAAATTCGACACGAAATTTCATCTTGGCAGAGTACGAGGGCAAGAACGATGTCACTGAACAGGGAGTGACAGCAGCCCAGGAAGGCGAAAGCTTGTAAAACGTGTCTGGAAACCTAACTTTACAGGGGAACTTTGATTCTTTGAGCAATTTGTTGTGGTGTTCTTTCTCAGGCTGATGAGCCTGCGCCTGTGGGGAATTACGATCAGAGGAAGGAAGAAGAAGAAAAGCTATTGCTAAAGCTCTCTCTGCAGCTGCAGAAACTTGTTCTTGTCTTGGATCAGGATAATGGGACTATGAATTACGCGGTGTAAGTAGCTTAAACAAATAAACACAATCTGCACTTTAATAGAATTGTACATGTACGGTTGGAAAGGGCCCTGAAAAATTGTTAGCTCATTCCCTTTATTATCTTAACATATAGTTAAAAAAGAAGTACTGAAGAGCCCCCTCTTATGGGGCTTGTTTTCTTGATGCAGTCAAGAACGACTCGCTGGAATTGCCTGAGGGCGTTGGTTAATGGCTGAAATATAACGTGGCTGTTGAGAGGAGAGGATGCAATGTGGTCTGGACGCTTCGGGAGGAAACACCATTGGGATTTTGGAGTTTTTTCAGATCAGGACAGAGAGTAAAACACAGGAATGAAAATTCTGTCTCTGGATAATGTCCTTGCGGAGAAGCCCGTATTGCAAGGCTTTACAGCAATTTCAAGAAGTTTTGTTACAATAATAATTTAAAAAAGTTTGATTTATTTTGGGTAGGGGTGAGGAGCGTCAGAAAGATCCTCAAACAGGAGATGAAAATGGAGAGGAGGACGAGAGTGAAGATGAAGAAAGTAGCGAGGAGGAAGACAGTGAAGAAACAGATGATGAAGACGAGGATAAATTGTTGGATGATCCAAATGTTAAAGAATGTATTGCGGTTGGAAACTTTAATGCACAGCAGGAAGGGGATCTCACATTTACGGTAAATATGTCTCTCTAAAAAGTTTCTTGGCGTGTCGGTACTGCAGGTCATTCTGTATTAAGCAATAACTGTAATTAAATCCTATGGTTCTGGGATTCAGCCAGTTCCTTGCGGGATTCAGGGAGAAATGGCTTTTCCCGGTGTACATTTGGCTTGGTGGAGTCCAGTGTCCTTTTGCCACCTTCTGCAGCGGCAGGGTCTGTCGCGGTGGTCTCTGATCTCTGTTGTGGGAAAAATTAAGTTTTTGTGGGTGTTTTTTTGTTTTTTTAATTGTGCCTGGAGCCCTTTTGAAATGTTTGGTTGTCTTTTGTCTCTGTCTCTCCTAATGGCAAAGAAAGGCGAGGTCCTGCTTATACATGACAAGAAGGCGGACGGCTGGTGGGTAGCTGAAAACTCGAAAGGGGAGAGAGGCCTCGTTCCTAGAACCTATCTTGCGGTTAGTGTGCTGCAACCTCCTTCTGTTCTAGTCTCACCTCTGTTGATTTACATATATCAATGATAATATAGCTGCATAAAATTGATCATCGTGCTTACGTGGGGGGGCACAGCAGTGTTTTGCCAGTTACTTGGAAATAACACCACGTTTGTATACACGTGTATGGAGATAGCTAGCAAAAGCAGCGGTTTTGTGCCTTGTGAAGATGTGGCGTATAAGCGCAGAGAAGTTTCTTGAATATGAAAGTCATCATCTTTGTCGCTAAAGGTCAACTCCGAAGACTCCAAGCTGCTATGGACTAATTCAGGCTTTTCATAATTTATATGAAACCTGAGTCCATGGAAATGTTGGAGTATTTTGTAATTTGACACGGAAGAACCTTTTCAAAAATAGATTTTGAAGTTTTGTAACTTTTGAATTTTCCTTTTTAGAGTGGCTTACACATGTTAGTTTATGCTCTTGTGCACATATATCCGGTGTACAATTGTGGTGCACATTTAACTGTGGGTACAGTTTGGATTGAGTGAGTCCTGCTAGTCCAACCTTTACCCCGTGGAACAGAGCTTTGCACAAGGTAACTGAAAAGCACGTAGAGTAGCTAACGTTTTACTTCGTGATGCTGATGTATTTCTCTTTTTAAAGAATCCGCCTTGCAAATGCATTCTCTTGCTTACTTGTAGGAATGCTCCGATCCCTTGCTGTGACCGCAGGGCTAAGAGCAGTGTTCTGCAGTTACGCTGCTGTGGAGTGATAGGTCATTACAGACAGAAGATCTCCTCTTCTAAACTATTAACACGTGCTATGGTTGGAGAAAGCATTTTTAAGAACAGAACTGTGAAGAAATCACGCGCTTTCCCTTTTTGAATCTGAATTACAGGTCCATAATGACGATGTCGACAGCCAAGAGCAAAGTGAAGAACACATAGAAGTGGTGGATGAAACAGCAGATGGAACTGAAATTAAAAAAAGGTAAATGGATGATGCGAAAGCAAGTATAAAATTATTCTTCCTCCTCCTTAAATCTGGCAGTACATTTCTTACAGTGAGAATACCTCGGAAGGGTATCTGGTTCTTTGCGACTGCATTTTCCTTTTCAGTACAGCAGACACTTGCTTTTTTTTGAGCTTGCAGACACACTTTACTTGCTTTGGTTTGCCTTTTCTGCCCCCTCCCCTCGTAAAATCAAAGAATGACTGGGTCATGCATCAAATTATGTTCCAGCTCATGAGATAGTCTATCAATTAGTCTTAGTAGCTGGAAATATATCATTATTAGTATCTCAGATAGAGATGGTTGTTAAGCTGCTGTTATGTGAAGACAAACCTGTATTTAGTGTTTTTTTGTCCACACGAGGATGATATATTATAAAAAATGCATTATTTTTCTTCCAGAACAGATTCTCACTGGAGTGCTGTAAGAAGAGCTATCGCAGAGGTAGGTGCATCTCTTACATAGCAACTTCATCTGCCATAATGTTAATTATTTTGTAGACGAGGTTTGCCTTTTACCAAACGCTGTTTCTCATAGTACAGGACAGTGTTTTAATTAACATCTCTAGCTTGTTTTTTGTAGCACAAAATTCTAAGGTTCTCTAATGCTTTAGAAATAGGCTGCAGCCCAGTCCATGTGCCTGAATGAAGATGCAAATGAGATGTCTTTTGCTGTTTTGCCAGAGTAGTACTACACCGTTTCTTTCAAGGGTGTGATTTTGTTCTGGAACTGGCTGCTCTGCTGCTGCTTTGAAATGGAAGGGGGATTTAACAAAATGGGAGTCCAGCTGGGCTGATAACACGAAACAGAGTAAAAGTAGTTCCTGGAGATGGGCCAAACTAACTTCAGATGAGAAGAGGTGACTGATGCCCCAGGTCTCCGATACTGGTTGTGTGAGAGTTCTAAATTAGGATATATTATGACGTTAAATAGCAGGAATACTAATATCTGTTTGTTTGTTTGTTTGTTTGTTTTTCAATAGAATGACACAGTGGAGGTATTGGCAACCATAGGAGCAGTTCCTGCAGGATTCCGCCAATCCACGCTTTCCCAGCTCTTAGAAGAAGGTAAGGTTTCCTCATAATAACTGCAGTGCAGGGTTCTCAAGTCTCTGTGGTGAGTTTCTTATCCTGGCTACTAGCCTATTGGACTGCTTAATTATAATTGGTAATCTGTACAGGCTATGTTTGACCCGTCAAATAATGTATAAAAGGCGTTTCTTTCTTCTTCAATTAAGTTTTAATGTATCTGTGTGAAATCCTGGCCACACGGAGGCAATGACAAATTTCCTAATGGTTTCAAAGATTTTTTCCTCTTTGGAAGATACTTTCTGTTGACGTTGCAGAAAATGATTATTTTTTTAATCTTCCCTTTTTCTCGGAGATCTTTTGGAGTCTCTTCACCGAGTATATGACACATCTCATATTTTCGTAGTCTTTTTGTTAAAAACTGTTTCAAGTCAATGGCTCTTTTTGTTAATTAAATTACTGTGCTTCTGGAATGAGATACTGCAGAACACTTGCAAATAGTAAAAGTACCCTTTTTAAAGGGTGCTTGTAGAAGATAGCTCCATAGTTTTGTTTGGACCAGTCAAATATTCAAATGGACTTTAGCCACATCTGAATTTTGGGTGTTGTTCATTTTGTGACAATAAAGATGATGATAAAATTTAAGAATTTTTTAAAATTACTCTCGTCGTAGGCAATCAGTTTCGAGCAAGTTACTTTTTGCAGCCTGAACTTACTCCATCACAGCTGGCTTTCAAAGACTTGGTGTGGAACTCTGACAAAAATACTGTGAGTATTACAGTGTATGCTGTATTACAGCTATGCTGCTTTTGGTTTGAGAGAAATGACAGGATCTGTAGATGTGAACTGCTAGCAATATTTCATATCGGTGGGTAAATATTGCTGTGAAACAGATGATAGATTTCGATGTCAGTCCAGGCTCCTTAGGCGGTAGATGTTACCACATCCTACTCTCTAACAGGCAAAAAATCAGTACAAATTGTCATGTTGGGTGTCTTTTAAGAGTCACGTTTCATCTTAAGTTTGTGTGTTCCTTCCCTGTCTGGGGTGAAGTGGATCTGCATGGGTGACTAGTCTCATTTTTTAAACTATAAACTTCTGCTAGGCACTGTGAAATCACCAATTTCATTTGTCGTCTTTCATTTTGGCTAATGATTATGTCTTGATTCGCACCATTTTAGAATATTTCTGTCTTCTCAAACTTTGATAGGACCTTCTGTCTGTCACACTAAAATATTTGTAGCAGTCTCCTTGGAAGAGAGCTAAAGGCTTATGAAGAAATTTTGTTGCTGCTGCTAATACTACACAAGCTTTGTGATTAGAAGAATCCAGTCTAGTGAACACTACACTCTGTCATCTCAGTAAATAAAATGATAACACATTCAGGAGGAGCCTGTAGATTTAATCCTTCCTCTGTTGTCTGTATTTCAGATCTATCCTAGACCAACTCGAGTATCCCTGATTGTAACTTTATGTAGCTGTAAAATGATTCCTCTCCCAGGAGTCAGTATACAGGTTCTCAGTAGACATGTTCGACTCTGTCTATTCGATGGCAACCGGGTAAGTTGTTTGGCTATCAAAAAAAGTCTTGAGGTGTGAATCTTTCAGGATCTTTCACGCTCTGGTCCCTCTGGAAGCCACCTCCTCCAGTTGTCTGTCTCAGAGAGAGGGACAGACAGACAGACAGACACTCTCTCTCTCTGCCTCCCAAGCCACTTAACTTACTCTCTGATTAGTCTGGCTTGATAGTTGCCTGCGATCACACACTGCCACACGTACCCTCGCTCCCTCCAGTTGCAATCACCACAGACATGTGGGCCCCCAGTGACTTGTGGTCTGGCTAGTTGCTGGCACCTAGACGTCCACACACACACGCATTCAGAACTGAGAGCCCATTCACCCAGAAAAATAGTTATAAATGGAGCTTAATGAAAAATCAGGACAGACAGATCAGGCACCGGGCATGGCCAGACATGCGTACTTATGCCTCTACTTTCCCACCCTTGTGACTCCACAGAGCACCTCGATCCCTCCCTTTTTCTGCCTTTGGTTCATCCCCCGTGCAGTCCCAAAATGCTCTTCCCCTGCATGCCGCAGTGCAACTCCTTTCGGTCTGTAAGGTGATCCAGAGAGCCGCTCCTTTTGACTCATCGTGATGGGCATCACGCCCGGCCCCTGGGCAGCCCTGGGAGGGGCTGGGGCGAGAGCTCCATTCCTCTGAGTCCACGATTTCGGTTCCCCCACCTGCCATTGTGCCTCTTTGCTCCTTTGTGTTTGTGGAGATGAGCCTTTTCTGGGCCGATCTCTCTCCTGTGATGGGCCTGGGAATAGCTGGGTCAGGGTTGTATTCAGATTTCCCCACCTGCAGTTGTTCCTCTGTGCTCCTTTGTGTGTATGTGTAGAGCAGCTTTTTATAACAGAATCTAACGCTGACAATCTGGCAGTTTTCTTCCTGCTGCACTGAACAGTCTTGGGAACAAATGGACTATTGCTGGTCAAGCAAGGATGGTTGGAAAGTGCCCTCTGGCTTCAGAGGAAACTTCCTCTGTAGTCCTTTAAACTGAAACCATCTGATAAAGTTGAAGAGAAAGCGTAATTTTATCTTTGTTGTGTGCAGTGTTGGATTAATCTGGGATAATACTGCATTTTCTTAAAGCTGCGTTGCTTTCCAGGAAAACTTGTCTTAGCTTTTGTCACCACTATCATGCTTTAGATGCTGAGCAACGTTCACGCAGTGAGAGCTACGTGGCAACCTAAAAATCCTCAAACATGGACCTTTTCTCCAAGGGTAGGTATCTCACGCAGGGAGTGACATAGCCAGTATCTATTTACAGCTGCTTATTTAGTGACGTCTATTACTTCTGGTATTCGTGTTGAAATAAAACGTACTGCAACCAAAAGGAACATGCAGAAAAGACAAGACTTGCTGAAGTGCATGAATGCAAACTAAACTAAGTGTTTTAGCAAAAACGCTTTGGAGAAAAGAGTTGGGGGGAAGGGAGAGTAGCGGGAGGGACTGGTGATCTAGCCAGTGGCACTGGTTAACTTTGAACTGCTGTCAGGCGCACACTACGCGGTGTGCACGGAGAAGGGAAGACACCAGCCACTTTGCATGTGAGCTTTTGCTTTGATTTCATTAAAGAAAGGACACATGCTTTGTCCCATGTTTTGGGTGCCGTGCAGGGCCACGCTCACGGCAGTAGTGTTGTCATGTTTTACCCCAGTTGTCGCTGTGTTCTTGGAGGGAATTAAGTGCTTTTTGACATCTAAAGTTCTTTAATAGCTTGTCATCACACACCTCGGTAACGTAGCTGTGTTTCATGGCAAGATAAAGAATAAGGGGAGCAAGGTTTCAACTGAAATTGGTTCTCTACTCATCATTTTCTTTTATATGCAATGGGATTGGGTCTGAGATCTTATGTGAAAGAGTGATGTGTTCGATGGCCTTTAAAAAGCAGAGGGTTTTTTTTTAATAGACACATTCACTTTGTTTTTTTTTCCCCCTCCTCTCTCTGTATTAGGTAACGGGCATTTTACCCAGCTTGCTGGATGGTGACTGTTTTGTCAGGTCCAACTCTCTGTCTTCAGACATTGGTATATTATTTGAACTTGGCATCACTTATATTCGCAACGTAAGTGTGTAAAGTTGCAGCATAAATCATTCCAAGCACAGGTTTATAAAGTGAACCAGCTGTCCCATATTCGATGTTAAGCTGCAGTGTCCCAGCAGCGAACCGTGAGATCCAAATGGAAATTTAGCTGAACTTTTCCTAGCTTACTGTAAGATTGTCTTCCTTTTGGCTTCTGGGAGGGAGGAGAGAGATGCTGGGTTTTGGAACTTTTAGTTCTAGTCAATATTTAGAGAATAAAAGACTTTCTGACTAGCGGACATGAATGTACCTTTACTTACACTGAAATAATTTCTGTTAGTCTGCCAAAGATCTCATGTAATGTGATCGCAAAGGACCAGTTCTCTCTCTGCTCCTGCACTGTTTCTCTGTCTTTGTGATTTGTTTCAGACTACTGTGCTATATAGTTTGGAAGCTAAAATTTTAACTTTAAATAGTACGGACACTGGTTTCTAGCTGCAATTGATACAGATATATCCTATCCATCTGGGATATGCTTCTGAAAAGTACAACGGGTAGTGACACAATAGATGGTAAAGCCCGTAAGAACTACCGTAAATAGGAGGCGGATGCATGCAGGAGCGTAAGAAACACTAATATTTGGAGGATACGGTGGCTTTTTGGAACAGGTCACTGTTCTGAAAGATCTCAGCCACTTTGTCTACAAGACTGACTCAACCCTTGCTGCCTTTCTCTGAACACTTACATTTTCATTGTGGTTGCAGTCTTCCTCAGGTGAATCTTGGTAATCAAGTAAATCATGGGTGAAAGATGAAAAGTGGGGTCACCCCAACGGTTAGCAAGCAGGGTATTAAATGGTGGGCAACAGAATTCTGAAAAGATGGATAGAGAAGTCGCAAAGGGGAGTACTGCTGTATTTTCTCTTTCACTAACACCTGTATGAACTTAGGGTGCAAGAGCGCAGTGCCTGTGGAGGTGCGGAGGAGAGACATGCTGATAGCGTGGTGGGGATGCAGAACTGTTGTGCAGGGAGATAAGTAGAGTGTATGTCTATAGGGAACTGGACTATAGAAGTCCTGGTGGCAAACAGCGTGTTGGTAAGTGATGGTTCAGAGACCTAATGGAGCATAATGGCCCTCCTCATGCGAACTGGAGTAGTCAAGATTATGCAAAGTTGTCTGCTTCTGTTTACAGAGTAAGTTTAAATGAAGGCTGGAGTGTTTCCAAGTTCCTACCTGTTATTAGTGCTTTTGGGGTCTGGAAACGGATGGGCTGGCACTCAGGATCAGCTCCCTTTCCCAGGCACTGTCTCTGGTACTATGAATAAAGCCTTCTGATGCACAGGGTGACTGGCTTGGAAACTGTTGACTCTGGAATTAGATGGGTAAATCCTCTGGGTGTCTTTTTTCCCCTCCTTCTTTCTGTCCTGCATTCTTTAGAGTATCAGTGCAAGTTTGGGGGTTTTTACCTTAGTATCTGCGCATTTCTTCTTTTTCGGGAGCTTGATACGCTTAGGTTTCCCTTCAATGTGAATTTCTTGGCTTTATAAATCCTCGTCTCCTAAATATGTTCATGGATGATCATCTTCAGCATGACTGCATGTGCTCTTTGGTTAAACGTCTTCAAGCACCTGTGAATGTGACATAGTCAGTATTCGCTTACCACAGATCAGGGTCTTTTACCATTTTTATGTGATTATTCTAAATAATTGTTTGTGGTTCAGTTACTCGTTCTGGTTTAGCTGCTCAAGTTATTTACGTTTCTCTTTTTTTCTAGTCAACAGGTGATAGAGGAGAGCTAAGCTGTGGCTGGGCATTTCTGAAGCTTTTTACTTCTAATGGAATGCCTGTTCCTTCCAAGTAAGCTTATTATGTTTTCCTTCTCTCTCTCCTTCTTTCTGTATTTATATACGTATGTATATACATCTGTTTTAGGCTAGGAGTAAAGTTCATATTTCACTCACACACTGACAGGGGCAGGTGTAATCCAGACTAATGTGCAGGTTGTACTGGGTCTGTCAGTGAGAATGCTGGCCCTCCTTCCACACCCAGTGTATGTTCTACTAAGTTTGGGTGAGAAAAGTGCTCCCTGGACCCAACGTTCAGGTTTGAAACGTTGCAAGTTAATACATGTTTAAAAATATTCTTCAGTGGAATTTTAAAACGATGGAAATGTCTGAGTTAATAGCGGGTTATTTAGAGTTCTGTTTATATAAAATAGAATCATTACCTAAATTGAAGGTGACAATGTCCTTTTTGATTCTGGCTCTTCTTTATGCACACTTTGCTGTATATCCCTTTCCCATGTAAAAACTAGGAGATTGGTTTCTAAGACTTGGAAGCAGGTAAGAGTTGTTGTGAATTAATCTCTTACCATTCACTTGGAGAGTATGGATAAGCTTATATTTTGCAGCTGATTTATGATTAATTGATGGGTCGAACAATCTTAAAGAATAATAAAATGTACATGTTTCTATTTTATTAAATGTAGGAAAGCTTTCTGTTAATTTACAGAAATGATTCATTGTAGATCAGACTTGCAATACTTGGTTTTTACCAAATATATCTATCTATCTATATATATAGATATATGGGTATTCCAAATATATTTGGATTACAGGGCAAAAAAAAAAACCCATGGGAGACTTCTACTGTTCTGTAAGTCTCTAAATCTCTTCTAAATCTGCTCTCTAACATTGATGATCTATTCTATTAAGTAGATGGTATCTAGAGAGTGAAATTGCATGATTGCTTCAACCCTGACTTACTCTTGACAGAACTAGGATTACATTATTCTTCAACATTTTAAATCTTCCATAACTAAAATTTGATACTTAAGTGATGACTCCTCAAAAACATTTTAGTGAAACAATTGCTAAACTTCATGTAAGAGAAATGTTGGGGTCATGTGGAAGAGAATAGTGTCGCTAATTTCTTTTAAAATAATTAAGTAGTTTCCCAATGTAATACAAGTTTCAAATTTATCATTTGAGGTTTGGTTACTTAGTATTTTATATGAAATGACTATACATAATTACTAGTCATAACCTCAAGCACCGTGTCAGTTTTTGTTTGAGATAGCAAGTTTCTTTCTTTCTCAGAGAGTGGTTGTGAGAACACATATCCTTACATCTTTTTCTTTTAACTATGCTGCTCTTCTTTCACAGGATGTATGAGCTGCTATTAAATGGTGGCACTCCCTATGAGAGGGGCGTTGAGGTCGACCCATCGATATCAAGAAGAGGTGTGGTTTCTCATGAACATTATAGAAATGAAATGATACAACAAACGCTATACCTATTTTGCAACATGCAGTGCTCAGCTGGGGCTCTCATTAGCGTGCAGTCACTACAGCCTGCTTGTCTTTTGCGTGTTCTCCTTTTGCGTGACAGAGGGTTGATCGTTGGGGCTGGTGGGATTCAGAACTATCTGCCAGTGCTCATGTTTCTGTAATTTCCAGTGTCTGCAGGTTGAGGATTATTTCTGATAAATGTATTCAATAGTTTCTTTAACTGCACTTAACGCTTCTTGGCTATGGGGTGATGGTACAAGGCTAGCAGTTACACTGGTCTAAAGAGTTCCCAAGCCAGGCTGTTCAAGTCACATATCATCAATCCCCTATCACTTATGCACAAGTTCCACACGTGCATCAATATGCCTCAGAACATCTGTACGGGTTCTTCCCTGCGGGGTTGACTAAAGCTTCACTGAGAGGTGGTTCAGACGAAAGACCACTTGTGTTTTAAACAAGGGCGGCCATGGCTCTCCTCTGGAAGCTGTGATAACGCCCATTTGCCAGTGACACATGCTGCAAGCTATAGAAGGCCTTTACCTTTTGGGTTTGGACACTTCCTCCACGTTACTCCACGCATATTACGAATCCCCCATCCTAGAGAGAGGCAATAGCTTACGTTAGACGACATGTTGATATGTTGGTACGTTTTTAGTCCCTCCTGGTTTTTAGACCATCCTTAAACCATTACAGCTTTAGCAAAACATCTCTTGCCAAATTTAAATGTCCAGTCTTGTAACATAATTCTTAATGTTCTTCCAAAATGACGGATTTCATATCGGGTATTTATTTCTTAAGCAGGCAGTGGTGTTTTTCATCAGTTTATAACACTCAAGAAACAGCCTGTGCTTGTAGTGAAACTGAGGTCATTAAGCGCGCAGTCAAGAGACATCCTGAAGTAAGTATTTGTGTGTGCTGCCATAAAATGAAAAAGTATTTCAGATGGCCTAGAATGGTTCCAGAGATCTAAAGCATTCCCCTTCCCTGGAACACTGGCTATGGAAAAATCTGAGGGTCACGTCACCTGCATGTTGTACTCGATCTCTGTTTGACACTTAGAGCTATTTTGTTGAAAACAAACAAAAAGTCCTCAAGTTTAGATAAGATCGAAAACTGCAACAGCAAGAGTCTGGCTGTTACAGCTGTATCAATGTGCACCTTCAAAAGTTGTGACAGTCAGGGCGATGCCAATATGAGCTAATAATAATCTCCGTGAAACCGTGACTGCTCTCAAGTTTTGGTGAACAATGCTTTGTAGGAGCAGTTTTGAATAAAAATCTCAACTGCATGTTCTTTATTTTCCCAATAGCTTGCTACCAGAAACGTTAATTGGCAGTATGTGCTACATCCATCTCTTGATATTTTATCGACAAATACTTGGTGATGCACTCCTGAAAGACAGAATAAGCACGCAAAGCACAGGTAAGAATTGCTGTTGTGGAGAAGAACTCGGTAATGGAGAGCATGTTGGAGAAAGGTCGGGCTCCTAAAGAGAATGACTCTCTCCAGAGTCTCCGTCTTGTAAGAGAAAGCAGGGGTCTGCAGGAGGAACTCTCACTGATACAGGGTACTTGTAGAATTTTGTTCCCTGGTAGTGCTGGCATTGACCAACCATCTCACCAGGTTAGGAAGTCGTGCTCCCTGTGTAGAGGATTTCGGTGCTTTAACCTTCAGTCTGCAGGTGTTGCGGGGACAAATAGGAAGCTGTTGTCCCTGTTGATAAAAGAGAACAGCCTCTTGCTGTGAATACCACCACCGGGGGTGTTTGCGTTTCAAACTAGTAATATTTCAACTCGCAGCTGATGTGTTGCCCTGTTTGACATCAGTTCACATAACAGAATGCAAACCCCACAGGAATAGTTTTGTTTTCTATGAAGTATGAATGAAGTGCTTTCAGTGAAATTCTCATTTTAAAAAAAAAAGCGTATGCGGACAGGTAAAGGGTTTTTTCTGAATAAGTAAGTAAATAAAGGTAAAGGGTTATTTGGAAGAGAAATGTTTCCTTTTCACCACCCATGCAACAAGAGATTAGACATGCACACAGGTTTACTCATTCATTTCTAGTCTACGTGTGTTCTCGTGAGTTACAGAAGAGATTAGGCAGATGTTTTTGTCATTGAAGCTAAGTCATCCTCTTTTTTTTAATTATTATTGACTTATTGGCTAATGCAGCAGGGAGAGACAGAAGTGGAAGAGTTCTGGTTTTAGAACTCAGTGTCTTGCTCTGATTTTGCAACTCTTTATCTTATTCCTTCCACATCTTTCCTTCAACAGAACCATAATAGTTTAGTCTTCTCCATTTTAAAATGAATTCGAGATATGGAGAAATTACACCACTTTACTGTACTACAGGTGAATCTATATTGGTACTGCAAAGTGATTTTCTTTTGTTTTCTCCTGTCTCTTCTCCAGACTGAATTATGTATCATCTGTTCCCATGGCAAATAAATCTGCTTGTGCACTTACTAACATTTTTAACTCCCGATCTTTAGCCATACTTAGGCATCTGAATTACAGGTTCGTCTTTCAAAGGTGCTCAGAACTTAACTCCCTGCCTGATTTTCTTGAACTTTAATATATATTCTGAGTATACTGATTTCAGTATCTGAAAGTCAGACCATTTAATAAATTAATGCTTTATTTGATAAACTTACCACCGAGAAACTGAAAATGCTTAGTTTTTAAGGGCCAGTTGAGAACTGCCATACTTACTTGATTTGATCTTCGTAACGTAGGGCGATAGATCAGGCTGATGACCTCTCCTGGAGTTAAAATTGCATCCATTTGGATTCAGACTGCATTTGAAATGGTTTAAAAGCTTTACCCCAGCATTTCAGAAGTTGTTCTGGTAGCCATTTTCTACTTTTTTCTGGTGTAACAAAAGAAGATTTCTCTTATTGCAAAATCGACTATCACTTTAGAAATAGGCAACTTAAAATGTCTGTTATATTTCACAAAAGCGGTAAGTTCTGGCTTGCTTCTGTGAAATGTTTTGTTACTAGTAAATGGTTAGCATTTACTAAACTTCCCATCAACTTCAACATGAAGAACAACAGTGTACATTAAATATTTAAAATCACAAGAGAAAGAAAACACTTGAACCAAAATTCCTCTATATGTCCGCAATCTCATTAACTAAAATAATGACAAGACCCCTGCGCCACCAGCGTTTGAGGTTTGCTGTGCTTTGTAACAGAGAGCCTTGATTCCTGCCAGTCACGGGGAGGCCGCTCTGCCCTGCCCGATTTTGATACAGCCGGCCTCTTCAGCTCCGGAGACCCAGCTATACCCGGTAGCTAACCTGAAAGGCACGCAGGAGACCTATGCAGCTTGATGACGTGCCCCATTTGGTAAATTTACTATGCCACTTGTTACCCGGTTGTCTTAAAACCGCACACAACGCAAGCCAGATTAAGGTAGAATGAAGGTGTGTTTATTCATAACATCCAAATCAGGCAGCACAATTTCAGATGTTTATAAAAAAGACAGGTGCAGAAAAGAGGAAAAACACCTCAAGCTACCCCTAGGTTAAATCGGTAATGTCTCTCGCTTGCTGGCTTCTCCTAATAAACCAGCAATCATGTTTTGTGTGTCTCTCAGCCACGGAGAGTTTGCTACAGTCAGAGAATGCAGTTGTTAGAGTGCTTTTCTACTTTCCCTGCTGCTCTGGAGTACTATTACAGCTAATTTTCCCTTTCAAATAATCTGAGGGGAGGGGATATGTTGAATACCTTGATGTGTTAATACCTTGAAAACCATCCTGTTTCTTCCTTAGCCTTGAATGTGTTTGTTTTCTGTTTCAGAATTAATCTGTAATCCTATTTTAGCAACTTTCCCTCAACTCGTGGATCAGCCAGACCTGATGGATGCACTTCGGGTATGTTATCTACGTAGCGTTCAATTACATCTGATGTGTCAGGATTTCCAGATAGTTTGCAAAATTTGAGCTTTTTTATCCTGTGAAAAGATAAATGGAAAAGCCAAACAGCAGAAAAGTTATAATCGTTTCAAGTGCAGATCTCTTGTGTCTTAGTGCCTTCAAAACTGCAAGAGAACGCTTGAGTACGTGCAGGAGGGATGCAAAGACATAAATGGGCTGGTTTGAGCACTGCTAGCCATGTAGCCGCAGCAAGAGAGCGCGCAGGTAGATCAGCTGTCTGAATGTTTGTCTGGCCTCTAGGACAGCGCTGCTTTCATGATAGGCAGGAGCTGACTTAGCTTCTGACGGGCAGGACAGTGCTCACCGTATTTACCCTGCAGTCCCTCGCAGGTGCCCTAGTACCAGACAACAACAGCTGAGTTATTTCTGCCTGAAGGACACTACTGTTACACCTTGTCAGCCTTTGGGGTTAGGCTGTATTTCTCCACGCTTGTAGGGTGGGGGGAGGAAATAAATCAACCTCGGTTTGATTTTTCTGAAAAGTGGATCCCCTGGGTTTCATTTATATAGCTCTGATAATTTCAAATCTCCAAATCCTCGCATCTGTAAAAGTTGGTGGAATGGCTGTTTGCTTAAATCAACTCAGCTGGCACAAGGGAGGAATGGGGAGTGTGAGGAAAGTGGGACTGCAACAGGAGCTTAAACTACAGCGGGATTGCAGCGAGAGAGATTTTTGCAGCTAAAAATGGAATTGCTTTAGATGTCCGCAATCTCAGTCTGATTTTACATTTCATTTCATTTTAGAGTGCTTGGGCAGACAGAGAAAGAACGTTGAAGAGATCTGAGAAGGTAATAAATTACAGGTTTTTCTCTGACATATATTCAGTCTAATTTGAACTAGAAGCTTTCTGTCAGCATTCCTG